GAGGTGAAAGGTTTACTGCGAGGTCTGGTCAGTTTGAGCGTCTCAGAGGAGTTCTCCGGCAGGTCTCTCTCGATCTCGATTTCGCGTCGACTTTTATATGAATTTTAGCAAACAGCGAAGCTGTTGAAACGTTTGTTGACGTCGCGGATGTTCGGCGTAAACAATTTATTGTTCGTGACGATAACTTTTACGGATCGTCACAATTTTATTATATTGATAAAATTATAAAATTTTATCATATTAATTATTTATATAATTGTTCGATCCCCTTAATGATAGTATTTAAATCTATATTTTACTTTAGATACTATCTAAACAAACTTTTTGTTGAGAAAGTACATTGTAATCTTACCTCTTTCACATGACGAGGTACAGTGACCTTATATTGATCGTTCAAGAAAGCTGGGTTCTGATCATCAGCGTCGATAACGTTGACGTACAATGTTGTAGTCGACGATCTAGGCGGATTACCTTGGTCCTGTAAAACGAAGATTCTTTATTATTAAGTCGCTAAAAATACATTATTAAAAAAAAATATAATGTTTAATTAAATTATATCAGCATGGAGAGACATTTTCAATTTCTCACTATTGACATATAGCCCACAGAGCGTGAGAAATAGACGGAGAAAGCATTGTCCCATTAAGATTTTTTACGATTGTAGCTCATTCGGTCTTGCGTGACGATACGCATCGATCATTCGATTCAATTTATTCGTGCTCGTTGCGATCTATTTAACGGTACTTCACGAACGTTAAACTCCATTATTGTTCTGTTATAGCGATTTTGACGGATCATAAATTGCACGAAAAGAACTATTTAGAGATATTATTATCGTTTCATCGTGCTGGATTCAAATCAATAGATTCGATTTTCGCTTCAAGTAATCGACAAACACTTACTTGGGCACGAATGCCAACGGAGAAGTTAGTGAGAGTTTCATAGTCCAGCGATTTCCTCAGGACAAGAGTACCTTCCAAGGCGTTCACAAAGACGAAGTAATCCTTTATACAAAAAAAATATATTTTTTTTATCGTTTTTATCACATATCGAGCAATGCTTTAATTTATTATCGCGCATACTTCCAGTATGTAAAAGCATTTGTAGTTGTACAGACAATACACGTCATAAAGTTTGCAGAAAAATTCAACATTTTATCGGTAAAATTTTTAAGTATAGTATTCCCTTAATTGTTTAAATATTTGCAAAATTTACCGAGTGAGCTCCTGGCAGCACTGTATATTGCACCGTGGAAAACGCTCCAGGTTGATCAGCATCCACAGCTCGAACTCCTTGTAGAACTCTCGTGCCGACGACAGTAACCTAATTGGACATCTCGACGTTAAAACCAAAGAAACGCGTGACAATAAGATATCAAAGTACCGAGTTATGTAATAAGTTATTTCGAATATTCCAATAGATTGTCCAATAAAAAATTCGAAATTACTTATCATACAACTTGATAAAAACATTATTTTTACCTCGGAAATATTCAGCACATAAGGCGCATTGATGAATTGCGGCGAGTTATCATTCACGTCAAGCACGCGAATGTTCACTGGTATGCAAATTTCCTTGAAACATTACAATTTGTTTAAGAAATATCAATGCAAAGAAAAATTGCGAATGTCTATAATGATTTTCACCCAAATCAAGTAAAATTGATATGACATTAAAGAAATATGAAATTGAATTTCTTGTTTCTTTGATGTTCGATGCATGTCAAAAATATATGTGACAATATAAACCTGTTGAGAGATAATCTTACCGGATCTAAGGTATGCTTTCTTTTACAGATGACGTTGATGATGACGCTGGCTGGACCTTCCACGCCCTCCTTATCGAGTGGCTTGATGAGCGTCAAATTTTTCGAATACGGCGAGATTGCGACGGGGACATCCTTATCGTTCACCTCCAAGCTCAGCGCGATGTCACCCTGCACGCTAGGATCACCGAGTACTCCAAGGACTCCGACGATGTCGCCAACGGGTAGATCCTCGCTGACGAAGAGATGCGCCGCGGTGGCTCCAGTGTCTAGGAAGCATCGCTTGTCTCGAATTACTGCAAAAAACATTTAATTCTTACATCTCGATTGATATATTTGCGAGTTTATATTTCTTGAATGTCTCGTTGAAATTAATCACTAATTAATTCATCGAGTTATTCATTTCTTTTCTTTAAAACTAAAGATTGATCGTTCATGAGTGGCACATGGTAAACGTAGTATGAAACATTCAATGACGCGAGAACGCACGCTTTGTGCTTTTAAGTCCAAAGCGATATGCAGAGAAGATAGCTCCTTCCTTTATCTCAATTCATAACAGTAGATAATGACTATTTTATACGTACGAACTTAGATAATGCTTGCGGTTAGTACCCACTTATTCGTAATACACGCCGTCCAGTTATTAATTGCGGGTGTTTTAATGACTTCAAACGATCCCACATAAATACGCGCATTCCAGAAGCGCTGCGTCGTAACGCAATTAGATTTACCGTAAGCTTAACGTAACTTCGTAACCTAGAGCGTGGCGGTAAAATGCGCGCGAAACGCGAGAACGTTTCTACGAATTATCGGTAAGGCAACCAAGTAAATTCGTCTTCGCGCGTGAAACATTATAACGTGTCTGTCTCGCAGAGACAGAATTGGAAATAGAATGAGGATTCAGCTGTGTTCCAAGGTTTTACTTCCTGCGAAACGTTAAACAAAAGCCTGTCGGACGGTCACGTCATTTCGGTGATTGCTCGTTATTTCCGGTTGATCGATGGGAATTCGGATTCTAGAAGGACGCGTATCGGACGCGTACGAGAATACGCGTGGGCTGTTTAACGCGTATGCGAGAGGGTAGATATACGCGCTTCCCTGGAGCGGAGTTCCGGTCGCGGAACTCGAATGGCGTATCGTCGGCGCAACGTTACCGTCTTTCGCAAACCTCTTTTCTAGCATAGACGAACACCTCGCTGGTAAAAGCACGTCGTTCGATCGTGCGCGAAAACATCGTGCACGAACACTCGGTAACCACACGATTGTATAAACACTACAAAATACAACTTTATAAACTGCTTATCATCATCCTCATCTTCTTCTTCTCTGTAAACGTGTGAAATGCAGCGACGAAGGGGAGCACGTGGCGAGGAAGATGCATATTGCGGCATAGGCGGACTTACGTTGGCCGACGTGCGGCTGCAGCATGCAACAGAGGAGCGGCAAGATCCTCAACACGTTTCGCCCCATGGCAATTCAAGATCATCGTCCATTGATTCCGTCGCCCGATGCATCTGCAAGAGAAGAATAGAGAATCAGTAAACAAGCAAGATAAAAGCAATGAATGCCGAAGGCGCGAGGCGTCACGTTTGCGCAATCGAGTTTCCTTTAATCCGCCGGCGGGTCGTGGGAACGACGTTTCCCAGAAGATACTTCGATCTATCCGCGGTAATAGCGTTTCCTGCGTTCGGCATATTCTATCCGCCTTCGCGGAGTCATGATTCTACAAAGTTTTTATTGCTTTTCCACGCAGAAACGCCTCGTTTCAGCATAGGGATTTTTCATAAGACTTCGGCTAAGTTCGTCTTGCACGCTTTCGTGCATTTTACCGTATGGTTAATCACCGGTCAATGAAAGCATCATTCTTTCTTCCTGCACCATCTAATGAGCGGTAAATATAAAATGATGCTTAGCCTTCATCGGTGCAAATTTGTACTAGGATTTGATGACGAAAAAGGTTTCTTATAAATCCGACCATTATTATTGTCACTTATCTTTGGAGTTTCTCTGGAAACGAATCGATCAGGCAAGAAGAGTTCTCGATATTAATAAGCGATATTAAGTAGCAATTTTGTCGGACAACATGCAATCGAGTTTGTCGTCGGGTTGACGGGTAGGTGTAAGAATATAAGCGGTGGGCAACGACCATCATCGTCTGACGACGAAACCTGTTTGCAACACAAGCATAACGCGTGGTTAGAAAGCATGCAGAGAAACTCCTTTATTACGTGGAACTATGGCTATGTGGGACTATACGTCATCAGGACTAGGATGACTCGCGACTTATTACCGGAGACAACTTTTAGCACCTTGCAATCTCGTCTCGCCAACACAGTGTATCCTCTTTCGCTGTCTATCTGTCTGCCTGTCTGTCTGCCTGAGTGACGCCACGTCGGGAACTCGGTAATCATTTTTAGTTGGTTTAAGACACTGAGATCATATCGCAATCTCGTTTCTTACGATCGACTGAAAGAACGGAAGCGAGCTTCTTCGGGCTGGTTAATGCGTGAAAGCGCGACGGATCAACGTTCGCTTTTGCATTTTACCGTATGGTTAATCACCGGTCAATGAACGATGATCATATCGTTGATTTTTTTAAATATTACAATAAAAAATTTTTTTACAACTAATATTATTATACAAATGATATTAATATAATACTGATATTAATGTAATATTCATCGTGAAATTTTTGCATCAATTTTTTCATTATATTTTTAAATTTTCAACGTCATTAATTACTGTTTTAAATAAAATGTAAATTTCCGTTATAGAATACCAATATCTATAATAGTCGTCAAAAAAAGTCTTTAACAAATCCAATAAAATAAAACATTCTTTACATCTTTGAGATATTTTGCGTGAACGTTGATGCGTGAACAGTTTACGTATTCATTGATCCGGTTGCACTCCGTGGGACGTTCTCAGCATCACGCAACGGAAGTGATCGAAAGGGGATTCAGCCACCGCACAAAGAAACTGGATTCGTTCAGAAAAGATCAGCCGGATGCTTCGGTTATGTGGGGCGCGGTACTGCTTAAATTCACGGACCGTAAATTGAAACGCAATGCGATGGGCAACCGGCGTAAAAGCCTTCGGCCTCGGCTTCAACGGATAACTGTATAAAAATATCGTCGGTATCAATGTACATTAAGTATTGATAGTCTCAATCTCTCGTTCAAATTATAATTTAAATATATGTACTTTATCGAATTAAAAACTTTATCGATTAGAAGAGATTTTATCAAGATAAAATTGTAAGCTTAATAAATCAAACGATATTTACCACAAAATACACTCGGCGGAAACGCGTCGTTCATATATGCGCGATTTCCTCGCGCGGGAAGACTAAAGATTCCTCTCAGCAGCCTCCCTTTTTCATTAACACCTTGTATTGTTTAATCTTCTCTCGATTCACCACGCACTCGATTAGTCAGCGTTGCTTGCGACGAGAAGCACAAAGAGCTTTACGAATCACACACCCCTGGCAGTCCTTATCGATCGGTGCGGCTAGTCACTCTTCTAACTTACACTTGTCTTCACTCCCGTAACAGTCGTAAGCACGGAATCTGTAAGTTCAATTTAATTTCAGAGTTGAATGCAACTGATACATATATATTCATTCAAAATTCTTTTCTCCGAATAAGTCACAGCTTAAAACTCACATTGGAAAATCATTTCCTCATTACTTTTCCAGCTTTGATCGGGCGGTATACGTATCATACACGACGCACTTCACACTCCATGCACCACGTTCGACCTGGATCTACCTCGCGTTGTACTCGACCACGACCGCGCTGTAGGGCTGTGGAACTCTTTACTACAAAACGGAGCTGTCGGGCAAAGCGTCGAAGCGGCACTCGGGAAGTCGGCTCCCCATTGTCGGGAAGGGGGGACCGCGGTGACCAACAGAAACGTCTACCCGAACCGCACCGCGAACAGGTGTTTGCTTTCATATACGAGGGGAAACGGACGGGTTTGTACATGCGTATACTCGAACGAACGTATGCATAACTGACCCCTATCTCCGGAGCCCTTCGAGAACTGCGACGACCTTACCGGAGCATGGGAGTGTGAGCTTCCGGTCTTGGAAAAGTTTCCTTGAAGGAAGCTTCTTTAGATGCAAATAAGGAGATAAGAAATTAGAAAGTATACGAATTAAAAAGAATATAGTTATAAAAAGAATAATTAGAGTATTAGATAATTAGTAGTAAACTAATAACCAAGAAAGAAAACTTTCACATTAGATTGCGTGATAAACCTGAAAAATTATCTCATATTCCAATAGCATAATAATCACGATACTATTTATCTTAACAAACGCAAATAGTTAAACATAGTTTTGTTCAACCGAAATTGGTGGTAGTTCTTCATTCTTTCCAAGTAATAATTCAAATTAAAATCCCCTGACCTGGCACGGCATTATGATACCCTCTACATTTCAATTTCCCTGTAATATCTAACTTCTTAATAACATAATGAGTACGAGATCGTTTGGCAAAAACGAGGTGGTAATTGTTCGTCGAGCGTAATATCATGTAATGTCGTAAGTGCGCAATTTTTGTTACAATGTACGTAGCCAAACGTCTCGTTCTGCCTAACAGTTCGTGAGATTGAACGCCGTGAGAAATAGACGGCAAGTGGAACGAGACTCGCGGCGCGATTCGCTTATGACATCGAGATGTGTCCCTCGCGGATCATCGGTCTGTGAAATTGCGGGCGCTGTACGTTCTCCCGTCTGACGGGAGGAATGACTTTTATTATGCACGGTGCTTGCAGTTAATAAACATCGGTTCGTCTTAAGTCCTCCACTTTAAAGCAGTTTCTGCTATTGTCGAGCGATTTAAGGAAGATGACTTACTAACGGTGCGTCCGTGCATCGACGGTTGGAACACGCAATTTATTAATTATTTTCGCAATTGCCCAATCATCGTAAGCGTCTTCAAATGTCCGAGCGTTATACGATGTAACAAACAACACTTATTTTTTTTTATTTTTATCTGAAAAGTTGCGACAGTTATTTCTATTCGCTTTGAATTTCTTCGGCGTTGATAAAGCAACATACTCACTGCGTTTTGAAGAAATATTTTACGTTATAGCTCGCAATAAATTAAAGCCTTAATTTCTTTCGTCATCTCGGATACAATCCGTCCAACACGAGTGCATCGCCATACTGCATGCGAAAGTCAAAGAAGACGTACTTATCGTTTCTCACGCGATCGCGTGGCCACTTCGGCATGAATCTGCTCATCGTGACTGGACGGTACACCTGAATATTCGATCTCTCTAGAGACAACCAATCAGCGAATTTAGGTCATACGGGGTCCATGCTATAACATATATATCTCGCTTCTTTGTTAAATATAAAAAATATCTTTCGATATATATAGAAGACAATTTTCTTTCATGCGTTGTTTAGGGAACAAGTCGCGTGATACAGCATTTTATCAACAGCCATTTATTATAGATTAAAATGTTTTACTATTTTATAATGTAGTGTCCACAATATTGCGATACAAATAATTTCTATTTAACTTATGCTGTTTATGATAATTAAAAGCCGTTAGTGGATTTAAGAGTGCTAAATGATCGATGAAGGTTGATCGATCAGCGTCATGTGGAATCACGGATTATACGATTTAAAGCGAAGAGGAAATCTAGTAGTCATCCTCTCGTATCTCTCACATCACGGGTGTTCCGTTCCATTGTATCAGAGCATCCTGCCACCTTTAGCGCAGCGTGAAACAATACATTGAAAAGGAACTGATACCTCGAATTCTGTGCTACGCAATTAACGATTGAACGATCTTGTGAATACTACACGATTATTTAATAATAAAGAAGATAATAACGATTTTAGAGAGTTCTTTTTTGATGTTTATGAAGGGAGTAAAATTAATCTTTGAACTTTATCACACAATATACTGACTTGGATCGGATAAGTTTCTCTAACGGTGTCGCTGCGATGTCTGTGGTATCCATTGTTGCAGCATCTGATGTCCCGGAAGTCTCGTTCGCCCTGGTGTCCACCGTTAACGTAGCGTGACTGCCGCCGCAAGTGAAATATTGAACCTCGAACCTTCAACATACAGGCACATAAGATTTTCGAAAGTCAATGAATAAAACGAATGAAAGATTATATATTTCTACATGTTCAAAAGCAATGAATTCTGAATTAATGTCCATAGTAGTAGTTGGCTTTCTCATTCACAAACTGCATATATCTGATATGTAATACGCGTGTACCGTCTTTCTGCGTGATAGTTCCTCAGCAACTCTCGATTTGTGTTGAAGAGCACTCCATGATGGCCGAGACAGAGAGTCACCCATATCGGTAGACTCGGTGTCTTTAGACGAGAACCCAGTTGCTTGCTCATACCGCTATCACCTTCGTGTACTAAAAATCCCACTTCGCTTCTTATGAGAACTCCCCATTGTGGTACAGCCTGTAAATGATATTGAATTAGTATTAAAATAAAAAAAGCTTATTTAAATTAGATCAATTTAAATTCAATTAATCAATATCGAGACAATCTGCTAAAATTTTAGAAATAGCTTACGTATGTGTTTTCATCGCCCACATGAATCACTCCGTTATGAAGATGCGGTGAAGCACGACCAGTCAGAACAAAGATGACGATACTAATCGGACCTTCTTCCGTGCATCCACCGAGGATCGATGTCTTCGGGTCCTCTAAATCGTTCCGAACCCTAAGAGAATTAAATACTTATATTAGACTAAATTGTTTGAGTAATCAACTAAAATAATTTCTATCGTTCTGGAATAAGATTGTGTCGATGAATAAAAAACAAGATAAAATATCTTACTTTGAGAGACCTCTCGATAGCACTGCACTATACAAAAGCAACTTTGCACCAGGCCCGCCCTCGTCGTGAAACTGAAAAAATGTAAATAAAATTTTTAATTGTTATCTTCGTAGTAAAATTTTGGCTTTAAAAAAGTAAGATAATTTTGCATCTTATAATAAAACAGATATAATTTAATCAATTTAGTTAATTTCCAATTTTGTTTAAGAAAGATGAGTAAATGCAAAGCGATGAAGGACAATCAACGTTCAAGTTTGACACAAAAACGATGACGTGAAAGTTAAGTACTATCTCTATGCTGTCTGATATTTAGAGTACCTTCGCGACATAAACACTCACCAAGTACAAATATCTCTTGATAAATATCTCAAGATCCTCCAAAGAGTTGAAGTCGAAAAGATGCAGCTGAGATTACAAAGTAACCTTTTAGGAAATACGGTATGATATCTACGATAACATCATAGAAAATAGAGTAGAGTCTCGTGATATATCAGTCGCGCGATCTCGAAACTATCTCTAACACTTGGCGAAGTGCCAACGCTGTAATTTGACATACGCCGTTTCGTCGCACATTAATTGCATGTGAAAGCCAAAGTTTCACCGAGTTATTCATTTGCACGATGTCAAAACTTCATGTGTAAATTTCTCTACAATATGTAAGAAGCATGCTTTCTCGTTTACATGATTCAATCGCTTCGTGCTCACAAAAGTTAAAATATCAGGCAATCGCACATCACGAGCTCTTGTTGTTAGAGTAGATATTGAGAAGGAAAATATACCGTTTCTGTTAATCCGTCCTGGAAATATTGCACACTATGCTGAAGATAGGCTGTCTCTTGTGGCAGAACCACTACGGCCTTTGGCACGGCATTGCTAACTACGTTTGGGCATGTAGATACGGAAAAGCCGCCGGCGCAACGCCAAATGATCTCCGATATCGCGGAAGTCAACACCTCGATCTGTCGATCGTATGAAGGTTTCAGCAGACTGAAATTGGGGAAAGAGAAGAATTTTTCTCGAGTACGTTATTCGACTATGTACGAAAATTAAGTAAACAAATACAAATTAAGTAAACAACACAGCTGGTGTTTCTAAATAACAAAAAGTCGATTTGTAACGATAAAACAAAATGTGCTGCTGTCATCTATAAATTTCTCGGAGCGAAATTTCATTAAAAAAGTGGAATGACCACCATTGAATTACTCGAATTCGAGTGATTTTTCATTCACGTGAATTTTTCATTCTCAATACTTGACTGAAGATTTTCACTCGAAATTGAAGAGTAAATTTGACATACTTTGCCACAGGAATATATTCATTCTAGTCAATTGAAACATTCGTTCATATGGTGTCAGAATCCACTCGAAGCTTAAGTGAAACATTCACTCTTGCGATTTTGAGCGGTAGTATTTTTACTATTGCTTCGAATGAAAATGCTGTCACTTTTCATTTATTTGAATGCGACTTCACTCAAAAACATTTAGAGAGTGAGGAAATACTTACGTGTCGGGTCTGGTGCGAAATTCTTGCCTGTCGCATTTGAACAAAAAATGCTTCAACATAATAGCTTGCACCGCACTGACGAGGCCTCTCGTTGTGTTCCTGGGCGCTCTTAATCCAAAGGCCAAACTCTGTCCGTATGGTCGTAGAGTCAGTCCGGTTCTTGCCCATTCAGCTTTGGGAGGGGTTGCACAAGAACCGAAGACTAATGTCCTTAAAGCCTATAATAGAAATATTAATTTAATAATAATAACAGAAACTTTAAGAGAGAGAAAGAGAGTTAAACTTTATTAAAAAAGTGATGATCATGCACCGATATCACATATCGATATTCTTATTATTCTCATAAATGAGAGGAATACTATGATTCGAAATCGCTCAACTTAAACGCAGATAATAAAATTGCAATTTTTACAAATTAAATTAAATTAAATTTAATAAAATTAAATTAAAATTTTTTTTCTTCGATATAAAAGATATATATTTTTGAGATATATTAATATATTAATATCTTACTATACATGTTTCCTCTTCGATGGGTTGTCCCCCGATTACTGGTGTTTTCGGCAGGGCTCTCGTGTTACGCGGATACAGTATCCTCTCTGAAACACGTCAAGAAAATATTCATACTCCGGAAATTAAGTTGATTTTTGGAAGTAAGTGCCTCTTTACACCTGGGTAAAGTTCGTCAGGTTCAGCCATGAGAGCAGCGCATCGAGCTGCTCGAGTTGACAGCAACATCTTCCTCAATAACAGCAAATATCCTCAATAACACTGTGATGTTAAGAGTATCGAAGATATCGGTTATTATCATCTCACATTAGATTGCAGTAAAAAAACATACATGTCAACTTTCTGTTGTAGATACAGATTTTTAAGACACAGATCCTTGATATGAAATACACGGCAGCAAATGCGAGCTACAATCTCCGGCAAGGGTGACTTTCTCGTGTAGTGATTCCGCAGCGGCTGGTTGTCACCTGACGGTACCACCACACCAGTAGGAAATCTGATATCAATTGGGATCGTGCAGGAATCCGCACCCTCCTTTATATAGACCCACATACGATGCTTATGCGTGCAGGCATTTCGCAAAATACGTTGCCATCGGGACTGATCACGGAAGGTGTCAATTCGAACGCCCGAGAAGACACACGGAGAGGGCGATAGACGTGCCCTACTAATGTCTATTTGCTGTATCCAATTACTGGTTGTAATTTAAGCGCACGTGAATCCGTCTTTTCGGCCATTGGCGTAATTAGCACCTTCGCAAACTCTCTTTATGCGATTTATATCAGATTACTAACAGTCAAATATTATAATGCAACTAGTCATCAATAAATGTGCGATTGCGAATGATAATTTATTCTAATGGCGTCTGACATTGCGTTTAAGTTGCTTATGAGAAAAAAGGTGATTTCATACCAAATTAAAACTAGTTATGTCATTGTGCGTGAATCGGTGTCGCAATGCCCGAAGTTGCCTAGGATTCCTGTGTTTCACGCATGTTTCCGTTATCAAAAAATATTCACGAATACTTTATGAGAGGCGATGGAGTTTAACGCGATGTTGTTTACACACGAGCACAGAATATCAATATGCTCGGGTCTTTACACCTCTCGCGTGTAAGTCGGATATAACGGTTTGCATACAGGGGGTGAGTCAAAATAAAACGGCGAGCAAGGTTCTCGTCTTATCGAAACAACTTCGACGAGCTGATCGATCGTTACGACGTGTGTCTAGAGATAATGGAAAATTAAGAGAGGAAAATGCTAATGATTGTTTCCCATACAATTAAATATGATATTAGCCCTTTTTTCTCGATAGTATTTGAAATTTTTTGCAGAATACAAAAAATTGTTGAAACAAAAAGTTCTTCTTCTGTAAGGTAACACGCGTGTCAAGGGTAAATAATCCGATATTTATCTGGTTTTATAGATTGGTACGATGAGGAGTTCCCGAGTTCAAATTTCGAAGGGGCGATCGCAAAGCGACGGCGAAAGAAATTCGCACGATTAGATCGGCCGTTCTCAGACGACGAAGGAAGACATATACACATATCATTCGGTGCGGCCTTTCGACTACTCCGTGGCTCGAAGACGATCGCGTGTTCGCGTGCAATCAAGATATCGGATTACGAATTCGCGCCGGAACGGCCATCTGCATTCGGCGATTGCACACCCCGATATATCGCGCTCCTAATTTACAACCACGAGGCACCTCTCGAGCGGGCATAACTATCGATCTATTCGACCGTTTACACTCTAGTAGTGATATACTTTAGGAGTTCATATAATTATAACCTCGTTATATACCTCGTTATAAAAGCTAATACGGTTCGACTACGCGACTAAGATCAACTTAGTTGAGTAGTGCTTCCGTAACGAAGAATGCGAGGGCAGGTCAAAGTTACATAGAGTGAGGAACGTGCGAAAGTGCTGTGTTTGGCTGAAAACATTTAGAACGAAATTAATAATAAAAAAGCAATATCAATGAGAATCTTAATTTTCTTCTTTTTCAGTTTTTCATACTATCTTTGCAATAACAGTTTCTCTTGTTATTGAGAAATTTGATTACCTTTGTCCCGAAGGTAAGGGGGTAACTTCTCCTTCCGCATCTCCCTGCAGTGTCGCTTATCGCAGGTGAGTGTCGTATTTTTCGCAGTGACCTCCTTCTCTTCCGGCACGTCAGACGTGGATTCTGCCATTTCAGACATCTTCGTACTCTCGTTCGCATCACTTTCAGAGGAGAAATTCAACTTTGAACTCATACGTTCACTAGTTCACTGAACTTTAATTCACCGAGAACCAAGCATAAATCGTCGTTGCACGTCGTCGCATCTCTTTCTTACGTAGCAGCAATCATCAAATTTGTTCGTTGAAACGTATCTTCGAGCCGGAAGGTGTGTAAGCTCTTCTGCTTCATGCGTCGGATTTATGATCCACAGCCTGACGCAGAGCTCAACGGTCCATGAAACGCCATTCGTTTTCATTCAGCGGTCACTCCTTAAACGGCGTGACTTCCGCAAAATCGCGTTGCTTCGCCCAGCACAACACTCTCACGTTTTCTCATTTTGCTCGCCGAAGACGGAATGAGCTGCAGCTAAAAATTGACGTACTTTACCCACGGTTTCTCTCGATAGCCCTCTGGGCAATCAGTGCCAGGCTCTAACGTTCTCGCGGAAAAAGTAGAAACGCGAAGTTTTGCGTATTTGGTAACCCTTAGAAGTGATTTAAATGCCTTTGTGTTAGCTCAGCAATGAAAAGCAATCGTACAAAATCTTCCATAATTCTCTGTCGTACTCGATCAGTCCTGTTGATTGAAAAATTATTTATAATAGCCATTATTTTCTTTATAATTTCGTTTTTTTCTATTTTTGTATTAAAATTAAAAGATTAGGTCTGTATTCTTGAAATTTTTGTGTATATCTAAGTTTTATTGCGCTATTTTGTGATATGATCATATCTGCACAAAGGAATTTACGTATATGTAATTTTTATTACGTATATGCAAAAATTTCAAGAATATGGGCCTTGTTTTTTTTCGAAAAAAAATTCCTGAAGTGATTCTAAACTGATGCAATAAGTTAGAATGAAACAAAATATATCTGTTTCACACGAACTTATTGCACTAATATAATGGATTCTTCGAAAAACAGATCTGAAATTTTTGCTCACATTGTACTTAATTAATGGCTGCGTTCAGCAGAGAAAGCTGCTTTGCACTGTTGTAAAATTCGTAAATCTAATTGGAGCATGCTCTTAATTTTGGTTGAATCCAAGAGCATGTACCA